CTCACGACTCAACGATTATAAGTCAATTTATAAGGTACATCTTCCTCACGACTCAACGATTATAAGTCAATTTATAAGGTACATCTTCTAATCAAAAAATTGAAATTCGAACCTCTCAGCATCACCTTATAACTTTATTTTAAAAAAAAAACTCAAATTATATAATTTGCTTTTCTTTTTCAAAATAGGACACTATGTTTTTTATTGATTGACTCAAAAAATTAATCATTGATTTAGAAGAAGAATGCCTTGAGAGAGAGCCTTTCCATTAATGGTTAAAGCTGTGTGGTATGTATGATCAAGTCACACGCCACAATAATTTTTTAATTTTAAAACTGATAGTGGATAATCAGCAACTTGAAGTTATGGCCACAGCAGTTGATTTTTGACCAATTCGGTATCGGTCTTATGCCGTGGGCTTGCACCAATTGGCCTGGGAGGACTTGGTCATGGTCTAAATTAGGTTTGTGTGTGAGGTCCGCTAGTCTTGTAGCCGGAAAAGAATGAAACACCAATCAAGCAGCATGTTAAGGAGAAATGGCTGCTTAATTATTCAACACATTACATACTTGAAATGATGAATTCAAAATGATTCTTGTTCATTTAACATTTTTTTTTTCTTGATATTGATGAATTCAATGATTTTGAATGAAGACTTTATCATCTCTCCAATTTTTGGTGGTTGCTTTTCAGCTTATTGGTTTTTGAAAGCCAAGTCCACTTGGAAAAAAAAATGCCACCCCATTGCCTTTGGCTTCAAAGTGATGTTTGATTGCCTTTGGCTTCAAAGTTAATTTGTTTTATGGGTTCTTAGCACTCGGCATAAACTCCACTTCCGTTTTCCCTTTTATAAAAATTTGCAACTCTAAAAAAATTTGATTAGTTTCATATATTTTTATAATATATTATTATAATTATTCAAAAAATAAAAAACAAAAATAATTTTATGAAAAAATATTTTTCAAGTTGACATATCAAAAAAATAAAACTGTTCATAAATCATTCATGTCTATTAATTCATTAATTGTATTTGAGTTTTGTTATATGTATTTCTATTCTTTTTTATGCAACTCAATCTAAAAATATGCTTCCTATCATTTTATTACTATTACTAAATAATTTCATAATTACCATTACTACAGTAAATAATTTCCCATTTTTAGTTAGCAGTATAAAATCTTGTCTTGCTTAGTTTTTATTTTAAATAATTACAAAATTTATAAAACCTAAATTAAAAATTAAAAACCGCTACTATACAACAATTTTTAGACCCAAAGGTTAGGTTATTGTTATCATCGAAATTGTTAATATCACTAATTTAATTATAGGGT